CTGCATCGGATACACCACCTACTGCTTATGCCCGGTACAACAACGTGAGCACAGAGATTATTGTAATTTTAAAGGGCAAACTATGCAATGACTTAGCTCACGAATAACGGTGCACAAATGGGCAGTGCGGAGGGGCGACCACTGTCCCAGATCGCTACCCACACTCTGGCAAAAGGCTACGAATTCAACATCTCGGGCACACGGATAATGGCACGCGCCGCTAATAAGACGGGCTGAAACTTACTGGAAACGTTGGGCTGCTAAAGTGGTTGCATTAGCGACTGTGCTTACTTTCCAAGGATCCAGTAAAGTCGGCTGAACACGTTTCAGCACGCATACAAAATCTTAAAATAGATGCCGAAGAAATGATGGTGTCATTTAACGTGGCATTTTTATTAACCTACAGCCCATAATAGTACCTATCGACAATTTTGGCAACTTTTTCCGTTAAAAATATGACGAGATCGACTAACAGCTCCAACGCGAGCATATCATTGATCTCCCCGAACTTTATTTCCATGCATGCTTAAACTTCGATCGCTTGTGCACCTAAAATGGCTAGGTGTACGAGCACAAGAAGGGTACACCGATGGTCTCTATCTGGACTTATTGACGTATCAGTTTTGCAGAGGTTCAAGCCACCGGTCTCCAGCTTGTACTATCCAAAGTTGTGTAGCAGAAACACCGAATGCGCTTTCGTCGATGAACCACAAGCAGGATTTCCAGACATTTGTGGTTTCATTCTTTGTCGACATCCAGTTTTCCAAGGAAGAGGTCAACCATGACTTACCCTTCCGTGACCTATAATTCATTAACAAGGTAGACGAGAAGACAAGGACAAGGGCCTAGAGTGAGGCGACTAACAATAAGCGCATCAAACACTTAAAAGACAATCATCCTATTGGTCACAACTATCTTCCGACGTGTTTGACGACATTCGGAAGAATGTGACAATGTAGGACTTGCATGTCCTTTTCAAAGCCAACGGTTACCTAAAGACCTCCATTCAAAAGCACTTCAGAAAGCCTTGCCTGAAGCGGTCGGGTGAAGAAGAGCAATATCCTAGGTGAAAACCGACCGAGTGCAAACACTCACGGAAAATGACGAAACACTGAGTCATAAATTGGACTGCCTGAATCTGTTCACGTTCAAGGTTGCTTCTGTGTATCAAAGTCACTCACACCATTTGGATATATTATCGTAGTAATCGAAGCCTTTTGAGGGAACTTAGGTTAGCTGATCGAGGTGCTGGTGTAGGAAAGCACACAAGCGACAGTTCATCCGTGGTTCATTCTCCAAAAATAGTTAACTCTTTCGTATGCATTGGAAGGCAGGCATCCCAAGAAATGTAATTTGAACGAAAGAGGTTCTTCGAATAAACAAGGCATTTTCATTTCAGAAAACAATTTAATCTGGATCCTCAGGTCGTCGTCAGACTTGAGGAGATTTGCAACGAAGAATTTAAAAGTCAAAAGCACTGGAACAGTTATATTGTCATCTGGCGTGAGAGCTAATAAATGAGTTTAATTTACTGAATAACTTACTGAATAAACTTTTCCTGTTTTCCTAAGAAATCTCTTTCCTTCAACTAATTAACTTCCTTGATAGTGTTAATTCTTCAATGTTATTCTGGCATTCGGTTAGACTAGAGATCTAACACAGACTTCCCTGAGGTTGGTGTACATCGCATCCAATTCGACGTGCCTATTAATGCACGACTCGTCAGAGTTAATGGCTTCTAAGAAGTTATCTGCCAAAAATATAAGCGTTTATGTGGTAGTGACAGTTTGTCAGAGTAAAGAGCAAAGGGGTTCTACAATGCAGATATCCAATCGTTGGTAATTCCCACATGGGCATCCGTCAAAGAGACTTAATGAGAAGGCGACAATTCGGTTGCTGGAACAACACTTTTATCCGCCTGACGTTTCCAAACCCGTCGTGGATCCTTCATCAGAGACAGAAGCAAAAAGCAATACCAGAAACTGCGAACATATCGCAGGGGGTTAAGTGAGTTCAACCCAGCAACTGCGATCTTAAGACTATGGTTACTAAGTGCAGAAGAGAAGTTCATAAAGGCCAGAGTAGTAGGAAGAGTTTATTGTGTACACGAAGGAACGAAGAATAGATGAGAAAAGTCTGACTTGGGAGGATGCGTCCGCTCAGTAGGTTGACCGGGTCCCAAGTGAGGTCTTAGCAGGAATCAG